AAAAAAAGAAAAAAAAGAAAAAACGAAAAAAAGAAGAACACGCAAAAAGGACATGCTTTTTGGGAACATAATGTTAAAGTGAACATAAAATTTTGGGTAATTTTTTAACTTTAAATCCTTGTTTCTTTTGTAAGTTTGTGAATAGCTTTTTGGCCATAAAAGTATATTCCATCAGTACATCGTACGTTGCTAAATTATGTATCTTAGGAAACTACTAGATTGAGGACACACATGCAACACAATAACACATAAAAATCAAGAACAAAAATACACATTTTGTCTCCTACTAATCCAACCCATCATCTTAATTAATTAAAGTTCCATTGAGTAACGTTCAATTTAAGAACTCGCGTATGTAAACTGTTTGGTGACACAGGAATTTATAAAGAGACAACATTTTATAAATAAGTAGGGTAGAGGAGAACACGTACGCTTCCATTTCTCTAATTTGTTCTGCGGTGTGACGATGATACTTTTTTCTCTTCTTCTTTTTACTTTTGTCCTTGTCATCCTCCTCATCATCATCTCCACCATCAAATTCATCCTCTGATCTCGATCTTGCGGGCCCTGAGTTCTCGCTGCTAATCTCCACCGTCTCATCCCTTTTACCTCCGCTCCCTTCGTCTCCTTCCTCCACCTCCATACTTGGCGTGGGTTCCGCTGCTGCAGCCGCTCCGGCATCCCGGAATATCCCAGCCTTTACAAATTAAACACAGAAATACACAGCATAAACACATATAGATTCTACACAAGTTAAAAATCAGGAGTTTAAACGTCTGCAATAACTACGCATACTAATTAGAGGCGAAAACACTTACAAGGCTAAGGGAGAGGGCAGGGGAGGCGAAGAAGTCTTTGGTGGGAGGATTGGACATGTCGACGACGCCCATGACAAAATGGGATTGTTGGGGAAGATGAAATGGGAAATTTAATGGAGGGGGAAAGAAGAGAGAGGAATTGATGTGGGGACTTTTTGATTTAAGGATATAAAACAAAAAATGAACTCAGGCTAATTCTCAGAGGAATTCTATTTTGATTTTCCTCTTCTTTGTTCAAGGCTAAAGAGAATTAGAATTAGAAAAAGGGCTGGTAGGAGTTGACTGTTAGATATTCTACGTTGAAAATGTGAAGACCCAACTAACTTGAATCTCTACTTCTTTCAACGGTATTTTCAGTTTATGTTTGTGGCTTGGCTTAATGGCTTGGCTTAATGGCTTGGCTCAATCTAAGGAGATAGAATGGAAATATTGGATAAAGTAGCTAGGTCTGTGCATGAAACTAATTATTATTTGGCTGCAAAATCTTCTTTCTTCATTTCTCTTGAGGGATCGATTATATAGAGAAGCAGATTTTCTTTTCTCATTCATTTTTCCATTTTATCTTAATGATATCTTAGTAATAGGATAAAGAAATGCAAAAACTCGTTTGATGCTGATAAAAATTAAAAAAAAAAACTCATTTGATCTTAGTGTAACTTTTTGCAAAAGTATTGTTATGTTTATTTTTTTTTCTAATATTATGTATATAATTTTTTTGAGTGTAGAATAAGATGGAAAGTATTATAAACTACCATCATAGATTACTAAAAATAACTAAATTCAAAAGTTTTCTTGCTTGTAAAAAAAAAAGGGGTTTTATTTATAAATTCTCAAATTTTAAAAAAAGTAAATTTACAATTTCAACTTAAAACTTCACGTAAGCAGTTAAAACAAAAAACTTGTTACTCATTATAGTCTAATTTTTCATCATCTACAGCAAAACAAAAACATTTTTAGGTGTTTGTTGGTACTACTTTTTTTAGAAATCTAATTTTTTAAATGTAAAACCATATATGTTTGATTAAGCTAAAACAATATATCAGTACTTGCTTTAGCCCATATAGTTGAATAACACAGAAAATACTATGTACTTTATTTTAATGATGATTAGGCCGATGATTCACCTTTTTATGTGCAGCAGCCAATTAATCAAACCTGTAAATGGGCGGCTTTTAAACTTCGTTTTTGGACAAAAACAAAACTACCCTTCTAAATCACAGTAATTCATACCTAATGGTCATAAGATTCTATCTTAACTAAGAAATCTATTGATCACATAATCTAATTACTATACTAAAAATAAAAAATACTTAGCATCACATGAATAATTGAATATAGACATCTTTATCTAATGAAATCAGACCAGACAAAAGAAAAAAAAAAGTGCGTGTCAATCTTTGTTAGAATAAGTTGAACATATAAGTTTTAAATAATTAAAAAAATAATCAACGTATGTGAAATGACTATCTATATTCTAAATTAAGTGGTTCAACTTCTTACATTTAACATTATTAAGCATTTGAATTAGGGCATATTGTTTTACTTGCTAATTCAAATGGTACCCTATCCTAAAAATCAAAGTTGTAATCTTCATCTCTTTTCTCCTTCACTATCTTTTTGTCATTGTTAGGGGGAAAATGAAGAGAAAAATTTTCATAAAAGAAAATGAAAAGAAAAAATCGGCTCAGCTAATCTGAGCCATATGACAAGCAGCGGCTTAGGCGGAGTGCTGGGGTGAGCATTATGGTGACCATAGCTGTTATAATTATTTTTGTATTTGTTTGTGTCTTTATATCATTTAAAGGATTGAAAGAAGTGAATGCAATAATGAATTTGCCTCCAAGCTTTTCAATTTCTTCAAGAATCCTCCAAACATGAATAAAGTCAATTCTTAATCTTGAAATCTGCGACTTTGGTTAGTAACTGATAGTGTTATTGTTATACAAATCACAAGAAAATGGAAACTAAGATATGCCCTTCTGTTTCTTTCTTTCAGTTTATGAATTAATTGTGTTCTTAGCATACAAAATGATAGAGTTAAATGTATTCTTAACATAAATGAGTAACATGCATCTTACCAATTATCCAATTCATGCCCCTCTATCCTAAGCAACCTATATAAAGCAGAGAGTCACTAAACAACCTAATTTTCTTCAAAAATTTCAGACAACTGCAAGTTGGCTCCCACCCAATCCTAACCCCAATCTCAACCTCAACCTCCTGTTTCCCTCTTCAAATCACTGCATTTTTTAGTAGTGGTTTCTTAGATACAAGGAAGAAAAGTTAGTTCTCCTACCTCAACCTTCATCATAACTTCAAAGGCTTTCCTTTTTACACCTAATCATAAAACAGAAGAATAATACAGAAGTTCCTCCCACCACAAAACCATGGCTTGCCATCCACCATCCCACACAAATCATAATTAGTACATAAAAAGGAAATATGTGGCCCACCACAAAAGTTTGCAAGAGTGGGTTGGGACTTGGGAATGGCAGATTTTTTTAGCTTTTTCCCATTCAACTTTCAGAATATATATGTATCAATCTTTCCCAGCATCAGCACTGATCATGTAATCCTAAATTAAGCTAAAACATTATCATGCAATATTTCATCAGCTAAAGCTAAGCATTGACATTTCATTTGCTGATCGATCCACATCATATAAGTAACCCTAGTCAAGTTAGTGTTCAAGAAAAAAGGTACATTTTGTTAATGGGTGTTATTATGAGCCATCAGCTTCCATAATTAAAGTTTTGGTGCCATACGGGTTATGATTAAGCATATCTGCTGTTCAAAACTTCAATTCTAGGGTTTTCTGCACTGGTAGTTTGGAACGGTAGATAATATGAACCAATCACATTGTTCACAAAAAACGATAAATGGTGAAATAAAAGCACTAATTGATTTGAGCTTTCTTTGGGGATTTCTCTATCAACTAAAATTCTTTTATCGTACATTCTCTGCAACTTCTTCACCATCTTATTAAGGAATGCAAAAGTGGGAAACCAAGAAATCTTACAAGTAAGAGACATGGGGTATCTTGCTTTCCTAATTTTTTAGCATTTTTAGATTACTTATGAAGTGACAAAACCAGAAAATGAAATTTCATAGGGGAAAAAATTGGGTAAGGATATCACAAATTCCACAAAATTATGGTGGGAAAGATAAAATGGAATGATGGGGGGTGATCCAAAAGATTTACCAATGAGAGAGGCAAATCTTACAAATCAAAAAGAGACGGTGGCTACACAAAACATTAAAATATGATAATTACTTTTCAAAGAAAGAAATGGAGATCATAGAAAGTCAGAGAAAGCACCGAAACAAGCAATTGTTGAATATGGAAAACTGACTATAAATCCGGATTGTAACTTGGCAAAGAGAGACCATTGAAAGCATGAATTCCTACTTTGAAATGCAAAGGGACAGGAAACACCATGAATTCCTTAAGATGCAGATAACGACTTCAAAGTTTCCTTTGATTCTCTTCCCCTTTACTATTCCATTCAACTTTGGAGCTTTGTTCCCTTATCTTTCAACTTTACCTAATGAAAGTATATTCCGATTCTCTTTAGTTTTCCATGCTTCATTAATTCATTTTGTTCATACTTACGTTTTGGTTTAAAACAATCAAAACCAATAAATTTAAATCCATACAATACAAGTCCTTACTACAGAGTAAAAAATTCCATTTTTGTTTGTAATTTGAGTAGCATAGATGCAAAATTTATCACATATTTTTATGTCACATGGATTATAAACAGAGTTTCTAGATAACATGCATTGTTTGGTGCATTCTACTTACAGTTTAGGCTTCTCCTATTTATGAGGTTGGGAGTATACAAGTCTGTCTTCTTTCCAAGAGTTCCTAGGTCTTTAGCAATCACACATGAAACGGAACACATACAATTAAACAGAACACATACAATTAAACAGAACAAAAATGAACACAACTAATACAGTATGGTCTATAGGTTAGGTCTGTTAGGATTGATGAAATGACAACTGCAAATTTCCAATCACCATGTTAACTTAAATGCCAATATGACAGGCCATCGTAAAGGAATGACAATGCCACAAAAGTGTTGGTCCCATGCATGTGTGAAATATCATCAACATTAGGATATAATTATATTTGAAAATGAATCAAATACGGATGCCATGACAATCTCTCTTAGCGCAATCAACTTGATGCTTGTAAGAGCATGCTTTTGTATAATAGATCCAACTTGCTGTCTAACTTTGAGAGACGGTTAGCTGTTGAAGAGTAGATGAAATGGTGGTTTTATCAGTAAGGTTAAAGCCTACCCCAAAAGAGTGCCATGAAATAATTGCTTTGATCAGATATGAGAAATAATTTCTAAAACAATATTGAAGAGTGGGTTTATACAACTAGACTTGATCTGTGCCTGCACACTCATATCACTCATTCATGAATACCGTAAAGACCATGCAAGTTTTAATAGGAGAATAGGTTTGCGCATCCATTTGTCTGTTCCTTCTCAGTAATTGAAGTACTTAAGAAATTTAGACTCTCTCTGTACATGTGATGTACGCACAGAGAAAAGAGTCAGTTAAGCTACAATAGTGTGACCAAGGAAAATTTAAGCACAAGGCTTCCGTATAAAAGAAATACGCACAATGGACAGTCTATAATTAATTGAATGAGAAACTCTAAATAAAAAATGAAAATCACTGCAAGCCACACTATCATTATGTAAATCTATCAGATAAAATTAAGCTGTGAGTAAATTAGCTATGATTTCTTATAATTTGCTCATAACCCTTGAGATTTTTCCATATATCCTACATTAGAGTCTAAGGTTTTATCATCATAGAATGTCAAAGTTCCAGCTAAGGTCACTTTCCACATGTCCCTAGAAATATGGTTATCTAGGAACTTGATTAGAGTTTCAACTGTAACATGGTTGACTGAAGAATACAAGAGATAAAACTGCAAATTGTTTTCGTATAGAGTTCTTCCAAGTTCAATGAAATCAAGCGCAGCCATACGCTAGCGTTCATCCAAACTAAAAGTTAGGTTAGACCAAACCTGTTAACGTCACATATGTAAAGAAAATTCTGATAATAGAATTAGAAAACGTGTATCATCTAAGACTCTAAGTCATTCATTCTTATGTTTGCTTCTAAAATGGCAGCACCTTAAATTTGATTGTTCAATTCAATGATAAACCCAAAAAAA